ACGCCGCCAGGGGCTGGGGAGAAGGCGCAGGGCTGGCATTCCCACTGGCCGGCTGGGAGTCGCACCCCGGGAACCCGGCCGAGGGTGGCCAGGACACCCTCGCTGCCCCGAGCATGGGCCTGCCCGTCTGATCAGCCCGGCTTCCGCTTCCAGCCGCTGGTCCTTGTTCTGCCTTTCTCCCACCATCCTCCCCGTACTGCGGGCGCAGCCTGAGCCCACGGCAGGGAGAACGCTGCGGGATCTCAGCGCTTCATAGTTGCTGTCGCCTGTCCAGCCTGCTGTTGAGATGGTCCTGCCTTGGGCAGGGGGCTGGACTTGACCTCCTGAGGCCTCTGCCTGCCCTGGGATTCTGTGATACTGTGGCCTTCCGAACCCGGAGCCTGGCACGAGGGCTAGCCGGGGTCCTTCTGCTGACAGGGCCGTTGCTACTCTGGGCTGGCTGAGCTGGAGGGTCCTGGTACTCACGGGAAAGTTGGCAGCATTGATTCGGACCGGGGATAGGGGGCTGAATGGGCAGGGGAAAGCATGAGAACGCCTTCCCCTCCCCCACAGCCCAGGCTATTCCTGAATGAAGGCCCCCCCAGGCCCAGTCTGGCCTGACCCAGCATGCTCTGGGCCCCCCTGCCAAACCAGGTTCCCAGAAACCTGCTCAGGGGGATGGAGGGGATGGTCTGCGCGTGGACGCAGAAGCGGTAGCCTGGATGAGAAGCCGGGGGAAGCGCTGGCCTTGTTTGTCCAAGCGTTGCCACAGCCCCGGGGTCTGTTCTGCCACCTTGTGGGAGGGCAGAGTCTTGCCGTTGGCACCCGAAGTGGCTGACTGCGCTGGAAAAGGGCGGGTCCGTAGCGGGTGTGGCGAGCACAGCGCCCGGGACGGCTAGGGAGGCGGTTCTATGTGACGTCAGTCGCGCTGGGCCGCACTTCCCCCACCTGAGTGGTCCAGCCATGTGAGTAGCTGGGTAAGGCGCTCCAGGGAGCTCCGAGATGTGATACTGGAGATTCATTGCCCCTCGGCTCACTGAGCCTCTGGGATTGGCTGAAAGGAAATCAAGGGGCAGGAATCCGCCGGGGTGGGAAGCGGGGAGCAAGGACCCTGCTGCTCCCTTTGGAAGCGAACACACCCCGATGCCCAGCCTCACGCCTTGTGCAAAAGAGGAGTCCTAGGCGAGCATCTGGAACGCACGCGCTAATGCTTCCCCCGCATTGCCCCTCGGCTCACTGAGCCTCTGGGATTGGCTGAAAGGAAATCAAGGGGCAGGAATCCGCCGGGGTGGGAAGCGGGGAGCAAGGACCCTGCTGCTCCCTTTGGAAGCGAACACACCCCGATGCCCAGCCTCACGCCTTGTGCAAAAGAGGAGTCCTAGGCGAGCATCTGGAACGCACGCGCTAATGCTTCCCCCGGGCATCTGAGGCCAGGACGGCGCCGCTGATCCTTGCGCTCTGCCACCTGCCTCGCAGGTTTGGCCGGGGCGTAAAATGGCGGGCGCCCCGA